TTCCAGAGAAAACCCACATGTTTACAGGTTGTAAGTCAAAATGCCAGTTCAAATCTGGGTGCCCCCTTTGTAAGTGTACTTGCCTTCAGAACGGTATGTTTGCAATACTGTGAGAACTACAGTGGCCATGATCGTATAGTGGTTAGTACTCTGCGTTGTGGCCGCAGCAACCCCGGTTCGAATCCGGGTCACGGCAGCAGTTCTAGTCTGCTTTTAGGTTTTTGCTTCAAGCTACCTACTGCATTTTTTGTTCATTTTCTACAGTTTAAAAGCTGCTACAAAAGAAAAAACAAAGCGTTAGTGGCGCAATGAATAACGCGTCTGACTATGGATCAGAAGATTCCAGGTTCGACTCCTGGCTAGCTCGTCTCAATTTAGTAAATCACTTATTCCTCATTTCCTAATGTACTTCTCAAAAAACTGTCCATGAAAGTACACCTGGAATGAGGGATCGACATAATAGAGGTTTCTCAATACTCTAATTTCCCCTCCTCGACTCCTAGGCTGAAGTCGAATAGTCCATTTAGCTTAGGAACCTTCCTAACGGAGTGAAATGACCCGGAAGTCCCTCAGTGGCAGCCAGCATAAGTGCCGTTCGAATTCTCTAGAATCAGTGCTTCTCAAAGTGTGGTCCACGGACCACACGTGAGCGCCCCCTAGTGGTCCGTGAGTATATTGGTAAAATTTCACATTTTAAATAAATAAATGTATTTAAGTTTTTCGCACTCTCGCGGGAATATCTCCGCAATGGAACGAGCTTAAGTTTCACTTTCGATTGCATGATATCACCCAGATAAACACCTTGATCATGTGGCCACTTGTTTGTACCATTTTCAGGCGATTTGTAAAAAACGATGTGTTTTTGGATATTTGTGGAGTTAGGTGGTCCGCGAGTGTTTTTTTATTGGTTAAGTGGTCCTTGGTATGAAAAAGTTTGAGAAACACTGCTCTAGATCAGTGGTTCTCAAATGGGGGTACGCGGACCCCTAGGGGTACGTTGGGGTACTGCAGGGGGTACGTGAGGTTTAAAAAAATAAAAAGGTTAATTAAAAAAATACCATGCATGATTACAAAAATAATCTTAGTACAAAAAGTTAAATAGAAAACACAATTTTATATAAAATATTCCTAGAACCACTAAGGGGGTCCTCATATAAACATGCTACATTTGTGTATTGTATTTATAGTTTTTAATAATATATCATTTTGTTCATTGGTTTGTTAAACATATTCATTCAATTGAAAAACTCCTTGGAAAAATCTTTTTTTTCATGCATAAAGATGAAAATATCCTTAGTTTGTTGTAATTCATGCAGTTAATCAATCAAACACTGCTGGAACATCACTATATTCTAATTATTTATATAGGCTTTTTCTGTCAAAAATGTCTGGGCGGTCAGGGGGTACTTGGCTGAGAAAATGTTTCACTGTTTTCATTACTGAAAACAGTTTGAGAAGCACTGCTCTAGATGAAAGGAAAGGAGGTTTCAAACTTCCTTTATAACCTCCTTTAGCTTAGGAACCACTGGACCTCCCTTTACGAAAGGAGAGGAGAAAATGCTGCCCCACAATGCATTGCAGCCGCAGCATTTGCCGTCACTTAACAGTCGGCCATTCACGGAAACAACCGATTATGACGGAGAAATGATATCATGAAAGTTACGGTGCTTATTAAGCATTTTAAAACGTATGTGGTAAGTTGCCAAAGTGCTTTGTTCTGAACGTTCATCAGTATTATAATCAAAGAGAGAAATATGAACGTTAGTTTTTACTGAAATCATCAAATAAAGTCAACATCTCACAGTCTTTACTGAGCTGTGTGGAGTTTGTTCAACTTTTAAAAGATGTTTGAATGGTGATATACACAGAGATAGATGGTAAGGACTAACGTTTATAATAACTACATTTGTATTCTTATTAAACATCCATGTTGTAGTCCGCTGTATAGAAAACTCTAGTTTCCCCACAGCAGCAGACGCACATTCATGACGTCCGCTGGCGCATCATAAACAGGACTAGAGGAATGTGAGAATTTGGTTCGGGGTATTTCCAAATATCTGGAACAAACTCCCAGAAACCTGCAGGTCCGCTGCAACTCTGACTACTTTTAAATCCAGGCTGAAGACTTTTCTTTTTGCTTTTAATTGAACTATTCACATCTCACACGGCACTGTAACTTTTATTCATGTACCTGTGCTATTCATGTTTTATTATCTTTGCTTTTTAATGTTTCTAATGTGTTTTATGCTCTTAATGTCTTTCATTTTTGTAAAGCACTTTGAATTGCCTTGTGTGGAAAAGTGCTATATAAATAAACTTGAGGAAGAAACAATAGATCTGAGAATTCAGCATTCAAATCAAACCATGCCCCCTTCAGGTCTGTTCTGCAACACTTCCTGAACTGAATTAAACACCTGAACCTTTTAAAGAACATCCAAAACATTCATCTGTTTGCAAATTATTTATCCAATATGTCATTCCACTTAAATTGTATATAGACTCTTCTTGCACTACTTCTATGTTATTTGTATTTATTTGCACATCTCAAAACATTCTCTTGCACTATTTTATCTGTTCTATGTCCTCATATATATATATATGTTGCACTGTTGAAGGAGCCTGTTCTGTGACCTAAGTTTTTCATTGACATATCTACACTGTAGCTAATGTGCAAATGACAATAAAGCCGTGAATCTTGAAACTTCACTTGCCTTTAATCGCTCGTGAAGCAGAGCATTTAATTGCATGCAAAGATTGACCTATAACGAAAAGTAGATCCCTAAACTGCGAGGAAGCGTTGACCTTTTCTGAGGAATGGGGTCTTTCATTATCTTTTAATGTCACACTAACACGGGTCCAATCAACTAGAACAAAAACACAAGTCAACAATTAAATGGCATGGTCACCAGGCCGATCAAATCACCGGCAAAAGCATTTGCATTGAAAAACGAAGCCATTAGCAGCTTGATATACAGTTTAGTCTCTGCCTCATCAGATCAATACATCCTGTTATGCATGTATTTATTGTATTATTTGCACATTAGAAGCTGATTTTTAGAGATATACAGAGATACTGACAATTTGTGCAACCATGTAAAGTTTGATTTGATAATAAACATGGGCTACAATTCCAGAAATGCTATGTATTTGACATCGGTTAATACTAAGCTATAATAAAATGACACCCTCAAGCAGGTTTAGCAGATTAATTCAGAATAAAGCAGCGTTGATTGATCCTGAAAATCTGTATTAGGCTTCTTGTTCATTCACACAGACAGAAAATGTATCAGGAATCAATGAAGAACAGATAAGCGGACTCGCCAATAGCGTTGATACCAATACAATCGGTTCCCTAGTTAATCCACTCAACAGAAAACAGTGTCATTTCATTTAAAAAGAATCCAGATCAGATGTCTAACCCGAAGTTACCTGAGGATTGTGAAATTGCATTGTTTACTAAAGTAGATACTAGATATTTGATCAGCATTGAACAGTACAAAGGGGTCAGTGTTGCACAGTGGGTGCACATGCTCCACAATTAGTCAAATCACTAGCTTTGACTCATGAGACTCACATGAGAGCAAATCAAATGCATGTGTCTAAGAATGCATCACTTATTTAAAAAGGCCCTTAATACAATCAAAGAAAAGGGCTGTAGGTTCTGTGATAACTTCCCTTCATACTCCACTTTCATTTTTAACCACACAACTAATATTACAGCATAAACTAACACTTTTCTGTGGATAAATAGTGTAAAAGATGTCGCACAAGCATTTTACTTACAGTGAATTATGGCTGTACATTCATTTATATGTACGTATCCTGCAGTTAAACCATTGCTATAGAAGATGTTGATGTCTCTATCCTGAAGTATCTTTTCCTATCTCAATATCTCAAAAACGTCAACATACAAACCATTTAATCCAAACAACATCAACGTGTTCATGCACAAGCTAGTAAAGCATGAATACTATGCATGTATTTGCCTTTTGCACGAAAATAATAATAGTATTGACACATTTTAAGCGACATTAGCACAACGAACACATGATCACTTAGCATGCTGTTTTGACACTCACCTGTGTGTGTTTAGTGTGTGTGAAGCAGAAAAAGGTTCAGGACAGCAGTCAGGAGTGTGTGTCCTCTGCTCTCAGCCTAGACTGACCGTGGATAGTGTGTTAATACATTACACACACGCGTACACACACCACGTGGATCTAATATACTATGATGCACAGCGCCAAACACACACAAAAGCCTCCTAAAGTTTGCAGAAAGTGATCAAAACCTTACAACAGGCACAGTGTCATCGTTTGGTGTTAGTATATATATATATGTTATTACCTTTATCTGCTGCACAAGCTTCGTTTTTTGGGAAAAAAGTTTGGGGTTATTCGACTTCCTAGGGGTGTAACCGACGAGTGCATCATGGGAGTCGTAGTTGACTTTCCAAAGTCTACATCTTCAACTCGGTTAAAAAATAAAAGTGTTTTCTTATGTTGATTTAATCGTTTTCTTGTCACTTTACAGGTTGCATAATTATGTGAATATACATATCAGTATATCTATTGAGTATATCTATTTAATACACAACAATATAAATATACCCGATTGAAAGCAGTGTAGATCATAATAGACAAATACATTGCATGGTTCCAATAACATCGAATAAAACATTTGAACATCTCTACAATCAAAATATATGATCCTGAAACATAGTGATAGTAGTAAAAAAGGACGTTGCATAAAAGAGTAGATGGCCAGTACGGGTATCGAACCCGCGACCTTCGCGTTATTAGCACGACGCTCTAACCAACTGAGCTAACCGGCCACATTTCGTACGATCAAATTGTTAATTATTATAGGTTAACATTTATATAAGTCGTACGCTTGACTTCCCCATTTCACTATTTCATACTATAGCAAGAAACGCTACACAACGGATTTTTATATTTTTTATTATTGAAGTATGTGATAAACTACATTTTCAAATCGGGACTGTTGCCATAGCTACTCCAGAGAAAGAGAGAGAGAGAAGGCGAGACTGATCACGTGACCCAGCAAGATGGCGACTACAATGCAGAATGGACTTTGAGTGTGAGTATTATGAGAAAACCCGTTAATATAATGACAAACCAGTGTATTATTTAAGATTGTTTTATGTGCACTTTCACTGTATTCCTAAGCACATGTTTCCTCTGCAGTTTAATTGAAAAATGTAGCCATGTATAATTTCCGTTTTATCCGCGGATCAGTTTTCCTACTGGAGTTACCGCTCCCTTTATAATTTGGAGCTGTATCATGTGTTGTTACCTTGTTAATCAGCTAGTTTTTCACTTCACTCCACTGAAAATGATGCTGTTACACTAACTAAAAAGCATGTCTGAGAATAAGCTAATTTACAAGGCATCCTCTCTGCAAAGCTACAGTAATGCATCTTCCACAGCTGTTTTATGCTTGCACAAATGTTGCTTTTGCTACTCCTGCCCTTTCATGCTTTTACAACGCATATTTTAGTGCATTAAAAACGTTAAGCCAGACTCCATTTGGGGCCTAAAATGATTATGGTTTTCTGTGTAATGGTGCAATGCATAAAACAATATTACTCAAAAGCATGTCTGAGAATAAGACGCGAGCTAATTTACAAACCATCCTCTGTGCAAAGCTATAGTAATGCATCGTTCACAGCTTTTTGATGCTTGCACAAATTAGATGTATTTATAATTGGTTTATTTCGACATTGGGTTTTTGTTGTTGGAAAATAACATCCGTTAGTGTTATCCCCCGAGGTAATTTGCACTCAAACTGGAGTAAATGAATGATTTCAAACTGTAATTGTCACAATTTTAGACATGAAACTGTTTATTTGGCTTGTTCTTTTTGAAGGTGGCATTAATAAAACTGCTTCTGATTGTTCCAAAAATACCTACCCATCTCCAACCGTTCATTTACAACATCCAAACAAGCATTTGAGCATTTATTTAAGCTGCCCCTGCAAACAGACACTGTGTTATTTCATTAGTTGATTAACGCTTTCCACCTTATTTTTCTTTGTCTTTCAGGATTTAAATTGTCTGTTTTGTTGGAAATTTGGATCTTCTGGATAACTTCATAATAATCCTCATCATCGTATCACAGAATCAAGATGGCCCTAAATGTTTTTGGTAAGCGTGTGTGTTTAATTGTAAGGGTATGTTTCCTTGAGAAAGAGGGTGTGTGTGACATTTCGCTCAGGGAGGATCTGGAGTTATTTTGAAGACAGGATACCGAGAAGACAAGTGTTGAACAGATAAGCCTTGCAGAGTAAACACAAAGTACAACAAGACAGGAAACAGGCTGTTAGTTTTACACATGCACGGCCTGAAATTGCAAAATGCTCACCATGGAACAGATGCATATTACTTCATCAGAATTAAGTCTGCTACTAAATTGCACGTAGCCAGATAGCATACTTAAGTTTTAAATTGCACATAAATAGAGAAAATAAATGAGCTTTCACTTCATATGTTAAATTGACAACATTTTAGACATTAAATAGTTTATTTGACTTGTTCTTTGTGGCAGTGGCATCAATACAACTGGACAATTTCCTTAAGTAGGTTCATTGTTAAGCTGTAAAAAACATCTGATGGTTTCGAAATGACTACCCATCTCGACTGTTAATCCATAAACAAGCATTTGAGTATTTACTACGAAATGCAAAAAGTCTGTTTTTTTACATTAAGCGGCCGCTGCAAATAGATACTGTGTTATTTCATTAGTTTGAATTAACAAAGGTTACGTTACTTGACAGTTCCAATCTTAAATGGTTAATGCTTCATATCAAAATTGAGACATAACGGGTATCATGTATCATTACCAGATGTGTCCACTTGGTGGCGCTGTTGTAAAGGGAATTCAATTAGAGTAACACCTTGTTGTACTTCTTCTGTCCTCAGATCATGATGAATACCGGCCACCTGTGTGGAAGTCTTACTGTGAGTATTGGTGCATTCTTTTTTTATGTTATTACCCTGATTTTACCCGTTTTTAAAAACTGTCATTTAAGATTTTTATCAGAATCAGAATTCCTATATTGGTCCTGCAGCAAAAGGGACATAAAATATAAAAAGGCAAGAAATATTAAAGGAGATAACGTGTTAAATATAGAGTAATAATAACTCAGTACTCATCTAGGGCTAAAAATGACGTTTTACACATTAAAATAATGATGGTTGTTGCACCGTAGAATTGCCAAAAAGGTGCTTATATAATTATACTTTCATTATTTGCTTTGAGTGCTTATTTTTTGTGTTTTTTGACTCACTTTTTATTATTTTTTTGCCACAGTGTACCAGCTCCAGCAGGAGGCGCCTCACCCGCGCAGACTCACCTGCACATGTGAGGTGAGAAAACCCTTCAGAATAATATATATGATATGTTTTATAATGATTGATCATTAAAGTGTTCTCAAAGCTGGTGAAGGTGCAGCTAGTTCTAAGGAGGGTAGCTTGTGAATGTACTCCAGGTGGAACTAAAGTCTGATTTAAGAGTTGATTATATTTCACATCATTCATCCAAATCTGCCTAAAGGCATTAAATACATGTAGTGTAGAGTAAAGTACATGTTTTACTTCTGAATTGCAGTGGAGGAGAAGCATACAAGTGCAGTACTTTAACACCACTGGTCTTCCACAACATCACAGGGTCTTTTAAAGTTTTAAGAAAATGCCCCAGATCACAGATAATGAATCCTCAAATGACAATTTTTAGCAATAGAAATCACCAGATGTGTCAGCGAGGTTTGGGGGAATCCAAGTGGGATTAAAGCATGTCTGGTGTTTGTGTTAATCTGTAATAAAAAACTCCTTGAGTGTGTATGTGGGTGCTAAATGAACAGCTGTTGGCGTTGATCCTCTGGTGCGGTCAGGTAGTCGTTGTTTGACCCAATTTAAAATGCAGACAGACGGAGTACAATAGCCCCATGTCGCCTGCTGGGATTTCAGCCATATGCGATTTAATGATGCACCAATAAGCACTTATCTAAGGCTTGTACTTTTTAATTTGTGGACCTGTCCTCAAGCTGGACAGTGTCAACTTTTTAATGTAAAGCAATGCACTCATTAACAAGTAGCAGAGGGTCCTCAGCTTATTTATTGTGAATCTACATAACACATTGTGATAATCATTGACTAATTTCCACATACTTTCTCCAGCTTATTTGTTAGGAGCATTGCTGCCATTTCCGCTGTTTGAATGTCATTTTTTAACAATCTACAGGGTTTAAGTCTTTCAATTGAATGTGTTTAAGGTTAGGAATATCCTTGCATTCGAATATACTTCTTGAAAATGTCTTTAACTTCAAACTAAATCTGGTGTTTTATCTCCACAATCACTGATAAAGATATCTCAGTCAGATGTGTTAAATGTCTTCCTCTCCTCCTGTGTCTTTTCTCACACACACCTGCCTATTTTCTGTCCAAACCACACATACAAGGCATCCAAATTAATATTCAGCAGCGTTTGTTGATGTATTGGCTCCACAGCAGTTTTAGATGCAAACAACAACAACACAATGTTCAGCTTTTCATCTGACTCGTGCAATATTCCCTGCGCCCACACACACTCACGAAGAGCACACGGTGTGTATGAGGCATTTCACACACTTTGTTGTTGTTGGGAATTACATGCTGTCCTGAGCTATATGACACCATGGAAAGCTTGCATGGAAATCCCATATTTCATCCTTCCTAAGTAATCTATAAACCTGTACCTTTTTAGTGTTTTAATAACTGCATTATTTTCTTTCCTTAAGGTGGAAACCCGACCTAAATACTATGGAAGAGAGTAAGTATGCCTTCTCTTTATCAGCGATTTTCAATAAATCTCCAACATTGACGAGGAATCTCCACTTATCTTATACCTCTTTCCGTTAACTTAAATCGTGGAGGAAGTATAACTTGGTTTTTAACTAATTTAATGTTTATTTTTGCTGCTTTTTGTGTGTCCAGGTACCATGGGATGATCTCAAGGGAAGAGGCCGACCAATCGCTGAGTCAGGCTGAAGGCAGCTATCTCATCAGGGAGAGTCAGAGACAACCGGGCACATACACTCTGGCTCTAAGGTAAATTGTGTTGGTTTAATTTAGGGAGATTCAAACAATCTGGAACAAAGATATGTGTGAACTCAAGTATAGGATTCAAAGGTTTTATTGCACAAAGCTAAAGTGTAGAAATGGCAATGAAATTCTTCTGACCTGAGCTCCTCCAGCAATATATAATAAAATAAAAAGTAGTGCAAAAAGTCTATATACATGTCAATAGAATAGGAGCATTGTAAAAGAGACATGTAAAATAAAGCATGGAGGTATGGGGGGAAAAGTAGGTGTCACACTTTTTAAAGTGGTGCATGGAATAAATTAAATGTGGTTTTGGGTTAGTTTGATATAAATAGCCATGATATAAATCCACCCTGCTTTCTCTCTCTCTTCTCTCTCTCTCTCTCTCTCCTCTCTCTCTCTCTCTCTCTCTCCTCTCTCTCTCTCTTCTCTCTCTCTCTCTCTGTGTCTCTGTCTCTCTCTCTCCTCTCTCTCTCTCTCTCTCTCTCTCTGTCTCTCTCTCTCTCTCTCTCTCTCTTTCTTTCATTTCTCCTCTCCCATCCCTGTGGTTTATAATTACCTACCATAAATACCCTTTCATAAACCAGTGTCCCACTGAGGGTGGGCAGAAAAAAGACCGGTTTGATTTTGGGTTAATGATCTAAGGGTGGCGTTTTATCTCGCGGTGGTTTCATTGCGATCCACAGAGGAGCAGATCATGCGTTGGCCCACTTCAGAGTCTGTGCCATTTCTGACTATCTCAGTAAAGTATCCTTCATAATTGTATTTGTGCCTCTACTTTGACATGTTTCCCTGCTTTAAAGCTCCCCTATTATCCTGTTCTTCATCAATATATCACAGGTCTCAGATATATACAGAGCCTGTCTCTGATTGGCTGAAACACCAAACAAGTCATTGCAGCATTACCCATAACCCCCTCTGTTTCAGCCCTGTTTCCAAAGTGCTGATTCTCTGTCTGTTACTTTAGATGAAAATAAGGAGCCCCTCCCCACGCCCCTCTGAGAGACATTTGGTTACAAAGAACTCAATGGTGCTCTAGGAGGAGATTCTGTGTCCCCACAGAAGAGGGGACACATGTTGATGTAGAAGAGACATGAAGAAGAGGGGACACATGTTGATGTAGAAGAGACATGAAGAAGAGGGACACATGTTGATGTAGAAGAGACATGAAGAAGAGGGGACACATGTTGATGTAGAAGAGACATGAAGAAGAGGGGACACATGTTAATGTAGAAGAGACATGGAGAAGAGGGGACACATGTTGATGTAGAAGAGACATGGAGAAGAGGGGACACATGTTGATGTAGAAGAGACATGGAGAAGAGGGGACACATGTTGATGTAGAAGAGACATGAAGAAGAGGGGACACATGTTAATGTAGAAGAGACATGGAGAAGAGGGGACACATGTTGATGTAGAAGAGACATGAAGAAGAGGGGACACATGTTGATGTAGAAGAGACATGAAGAAGAGGGGACACATGTTGATGAAGAAGAGACATGAAGAAGAGGGGACACATGTTGATGTAGAAGAGACATGGAGAAGAGGGGACACATGTTGATGTAGAAGAGACATGAAGAAGAGGGGACACATGTTGATGTAGAAGAGACATGGAGAAGAGGGGACACATGTTGATGTAGAAGAGACATGAAGAAGAGGGGACACATGTTAATGTAGAAGAGACATGGAGAAGAGGGGACACATGTTGATGTAGAAGAGACATGAAGAAGAGGGGACACATGTTGATGTAGAAGAGACATGAAGAAGAGGGGACACATGTTGATGAAGAAGAGACATGAAGAAGAGGGGACACATGTTGATGTAGAAGAGCCATGAAGAAGAGGGGACACGTGTTGATGTAGAAGAGACATGAAGAAGAGGGGACACATGCTGATGTAGAAGAGACATGAAGAAGAGGGGAGACATGTTGATGTAGAAGATACATGAAGAAGAGGGGACACATGTTGACGTAGAAGAGACATGAAGAAGAGGGAACACATGTAGATGTAGAAGAGACATGAAGAAGAGGGGACACATGTTGATGTAGAAGAGACATGAAGAAGAGGGGACACATGTTGATGTAGAAGAGACATGAAGAAGAGGGGACACATGTTGATGTAGAAGAGACATGAAGAAGAGGGGACACGTGTTGATGTAGAAGAGACATGAACAAGTGGATTTTGCATAATAGGGACATACATTTTACAGCCCAGTGTGCTGTGAGACAGTTTCAAAGCTAAAGAATCTTCCTCTGCTCTATCCAGGTTTGGGAACCAGACCAGAAACTTCCGTCTCTACCATGACGGGAAGCACTTTGTTGGAGAGAAGAGGTTCGAGTCCATCCACGACCTGGTAACGGACGGCCTCATCACACTCTACATCGAGACAAAGGTGTGTGAGTGTGTCTACTTTGGCTCACCCATTTGTCAGCCGATCTTTCCCAGACATTCGGCTCGATTTGCACATTATTACCCTTTCATCAACTCTTGTTAACTTCATCAACTGAATCCCTGGATTGCTTGAAAACAATCCCAGAAATAAGGAAACTCATGCTCTCTCAACACTGAAATATAGCAATGGAAAAGACCTGCCATGTTTACAGTAACCTTCTCTCTTGTCAGGCGGCGGAGTACATCGCTAAGATGACCATAAACCCCATTTATGAACATGTGGGATACACCACTTTGAACCAGGAGCCCACTCTGAAAAAACTCCTTCCTCAAAGCCCCGAGGCCCCGGATGGACCAGTTCCAGTTAAAGAAGACACGAACGCAGAGGAGAGGGTGAGGAAAATGTCACTTTTTGTTTATTCTGCTTAATGGTGATACAGCGGAGCTCTTAGGGGCTGAAAATCAAGCTGTGAAAACCAATCATTATCTTCAAAATCCATCACTCTCTGCAAGAAATATGGAAAATCTGTATGAACTCAGGAAGAACGCATCGTCCAATCAGCAAATGAAGGATTTGGGGGTTTTCAAAAAGGAGTGTTGGCTACCGACCAAAGAATATCCCCTTTAGAAACAGTCTGACATTAGGCCTTCATATCGCAGAAATTAGATAGGGCTGCAAATTCTTAATGTCTATTACAATTTAAAATAGATAAGCAGCAACTCTCATAACTTGAGACTTAAAAACAACATTTTCTTTTAACTAGTCCCTTGATAAAGAAAGTCGTACATCTAAAAGTATTAGCACCTGTCCCTTCATAATATGTCATAAAACGTGTTAAAATGACATATTTAGAGGCCATGCAGAGGGGTAGAATAAGGTTAGGAAGGTTCCTGCATGAACAGTGCTAAGATGGAAGGAGGAAGAAGGTTCATGAACGTGGAGAGAGAAGAAGAGGAGGAGGAGGAAGATGGATGCAGAGGAGAGATGGCCTCCAGCCAAAGGCTCTGCAGTAAAATTACATAACTGCATTTTGCCTGCAGGAATCTGATATCTCCCCAAAAGCCGCCTACTAAGTATTCAGAAATCCAGTTTGTTTTTGGCTCATTAGTTTCCCATCAGCTGTGAGATCATTGTTTTCTGCGATTTGGGTTTTTAACTCAGGGGACGGACGGAAACCTTTTGCTTATACATGGAGTTTTTCAAAGTTTACTTGCGTTTGGAGATGGGAGGTTCAGTGTTTGACGCGGGAGGATGCTAATGACTGCTGGAAAACATTTAAATTTCATTTCTGCAGCCGTTTTGTTTGTGCTGGGTGCAGAAAATCAAGGCGTGCGATTATATACACACACACACACACACACACACACACACACGTGTAAAACCATTTAGTTAAAATGGACAAAAACAAACCAACAGGCTCATAACAAAGTATGCAATGCGTTTATTTGCTACACCAGCAATGTACCTCCTGAGGCCTTGTTTGACCTGCAGTGCATGACCACCTCATATATCACTGTGTGTGTGTGTGTGTGTGTGTGTGTGTGTGTGTGTGTGTGTGTGTGTGTGTGTGTGTGTGTGTGTGTGTGTGTGTGTGTGTGTGTGTGTGTGTGTGTGTTTTCATAATTTTGCAGACAAAGCAGTACGGCGGTGACATTGAGACCGGAGGTGGTTCTCCGTAGGGAAGACAAACGCATGTGAATTCTGAATTTCGTGCACGCTAATCAGCTTTTTAGGGGGTTAAATGCTGCACGTATGGTCCCTGTGGGGGTGCTAAAGACATGGTTGGGGTGATGACTTTTAACATTTTGATTTGAAAGGCTTTGTTTTTCGTTTGAGTTAGGTGACGGGAAGGTAGGAAGCATGGGAGAAGCTTAAAGGGTCACAGATATAAATATATGAGCTTGCTAATTATAACTAGCTTTGGTGTCCTTTTTTCTTTTGTTATCCATCTACACACGATGGAAACACATCATATATATCGGTCAGACATGTTAAATGTTTATGCACATTCTATTATCTAATATAATGGAAGACCAAGGCCATGTAAGGACACAGGACTGTGGAGGTTTCAAGCTAAAAAACACTCACAAAAAGAGCAGTAGTAGTCGCTGTTGTTTAGTATTATCGATACAAACGGGAACGATCGGAGGAAAAATACCAAATGAAGGGAGAGATTAAAAAAAATATAGACAATTGAATTACATATGTTGTTTTTCAGCACGTTGTTGTTTCTCTCCCGGGACAAATGTGGTGGCAGAAATCGGTGACAAACAACAACAATCCCTGTAATCTGATTGGCTCCTTCTCCTCTCAATGTGACCTGTTAAATTCATCCATTACTGCAGCGTAGCCCAACCCCCCCTCGTCTTCTTTCTCTCTCCGCCTTTATCTCCTCCCTCCTCCACTAGTTCTGCCTGTGTGTGGAGGGAAAGAGGCTTAACACACACACACACACACACACACACACACACACACACACACATTGAGCCATGTGGGCTGAAGCGCTCACCTACAGGAGACGGCGATGCACATTCTGCAGCATCAGTCCGTTGTGAAGGATTTTGGGAACGCAAGATTTATTGAATCCTATTAAGGGAACTTTCTTTCACACATTTTGTTTTTTTATTGGATCTTTTGTTTTGTTATGAACTGGAATTGCACCATAGAGCCCCATCAGTATGCTGGGCTAATGTGATTGGCTGATCTTTGTGGTGCTAAGACGGCAGGATTGGTCCTTTTTGTTGCTTTTCCGTTTGGGATGTTGTTGTCGGATGGAGCTTTAAATTGGTTTTGAGAGTCTAGTTGTTCAATTAAAAATTATTCTGAGCATTTAAGACAAGAAAACTGCTTTTTTGTTGTTATTTTCCTCTGCAGTCTGATTGTCTTATGTGTTATTTATTATAGTATTTTGGTCTGATAGCCATTGTTTGATTTAAACCTCCAGTGTGATTTTAATTCACACCAAAACTACACTTCCCACAATGCCGAGTAGAGAGTCTTATGTCGTTAAAAGAGGTACAAAAAAGTCACGCAGGCGAGCCGAGAAGCAAACGGGTCAGAAGGGCGCTTTGTTTTCTGCGGCTCTCGGTTTGGATGTCAGCGCTGGTTCAATTCCCTCCCTGCTGGACCCAAACTTGGGCTTTGGACCCCCCATGAAACCCACTTCCCCTGCTTCTACCTTCTGGAAACCAATCAGATCTTTTGCCCTTTCGCAGCTCACATCTCTGGTGCGACGGGCCACACTGAGAGAGAGCGACTTAGCGCCCAAATACGAGAAGATCCACAACTTCAAGGTGAGTTTCTCCTCTTCCATCCTCCTTTTTAATCTGTGTGCTGAAGGATGCCAGAAGCGCTGATTCAGCACTTGGGGTCTTATTCAAATTCACCTCAGAGAGCACAGAGCGCATTAGGATTCACACGCAGAGAAACACACATTTCTGCATTTACAATAAAGTCAGATTCCACAGTGTCCTTAGCCCTTGGGAATCACACACACACACACACACACACACACACACACACACACACACACACACACACACACACACACACACACACACACACATATACCATGTATACATCACTTCAGGGGACATTACATTGACTTACATGCATTTCATGGAGACTTATCCTAACCTTAACCATAACCAACACATGCCTAATCCTAACCCTTAACCTAACCAAGTCTTCACCCTAAAATTAATGACTCCCCTTATGGGGACCTCCAATTTGTCCCCATAAGGGAGGCGAGTCCTCATACGTGACTGTGTAAACAGATTTAGGTCCCCACAAGTATAGTAATGCTAGGCCACACACACACACACACACACACACACACACGCACACACACTGAGCACTGTGATGTGATGGAGCCTATTAGCATTTATAGAGCCAATTTATGCAGAGAAAATAATGATATTTTTCAGGTATTTCTTGTGTGTTCTTCTCGGTGGATAAATACTATTTTGGTACATTTAACAACTCTATTTTTTTTTATTTAGCATTTCGTCTGACCACATCTGTTTTCACCTTTATAATTGTTTAAAATGTTGTGATAATTGTACACTTATTTTGTCTCTTTAACCAGGTTCATACATTCAGAGGTCCACATTGGTGCGAGTACTGTGCCAACTTCATGTGGGGGCTCATCGCTCAGGGAGTCAAGTGTGCAGGTAACACACACACACACACACACACACACACACACACACACACACACACACACACACACACACACACACACACACACACACACACACACACACACTATCTAAAATCGGTTCTTTTTTGCCTCCTCCACTGTTTTCGACATGTTGCGCCTCCTCTCTCTTAAAGTGTGACTCAGATTCGGGACTGGAGGCGTAAAGTTAGTCACTTCTGCTGTTGACTCATGCTGTGAATCACGGATTTCAAATGTTAAAATATTCAATTTGGTGCCAGAGAACACACTGTCTTTTTGATTATTACTCAGTATTACAAAAAGTTTCTAAGGAATTAATAAGATGGCTAGAGTCACAAAAAATGTATACTTAAGTGCTTTTATTCACAGCCAAAAACGGAGGAGGGAGGAAGTTACAAGGACGTCCAGTCCAAAATAGAAAGAAAAAACATTAATATATACAGCTCTAAGAAATGTAAACTGGTACCTCTCTGCTCTACAGCCACCGTCAGAGTAACCCAAAATCACCTGTGGCCCGAGGTTTATATTTGTTAAGCCCCTCCCCATAGGCCAGGGGGGTCAAACTCAAATACACAGTGGGCCAAAATAAGAAAATGGGTACTGGTCGACGGCCGGACTGGTTCAATGTTTATTGCAAAACTTATTGAAATGAACTTATTGCACATATTAAACCTGGAACTAACAAAGCTTCACTGATTGCCTATAAAAACAACATTAAATAATCAGTTGCATTCATTTCTTACGGCTCTATCTGCAGCTTTTCCAGAGTCATTTCTTATGAGTACATTTTCCCACAGGCCAACAACAGCTTCAACAAAACTATTCCCCTCAAAGAGAAAACCAAACATGCCCTGTTGTTGTGAGAGAAAGTGCAGAAGGAAACATCCATTAAACTCAGGTTGCTGCTCTGTGATGCTAGCTCAGATACTTGGCATCAATGAGAGGTCATCAATGTTTGGGGTCAGGCTCTGAGCGGAGGAGACCCTCAGGATGGAGTGAAGGTGTGCGTGCAATATACCGGCTCTAACCAGATCTAATAGTAATTAGAAATTATCCTGCGGGCCAAAATTAAATCCACCACGGGCCTGATTTGACCCCCGGGCCTTGAGTTTGACACATGTGCTCTCGGCCAATCAACTGTTTACAAACTTAATTATTATTTCAAACTAATTAAACACAATAAATCAACATATCCTACTATTTCTGACCATCTGATGTGCATCTAGGGCACAAAGTTGTATATTCACAAGCAGTGGTATTGCACATAATGGTATACATATATATTATAATCCCTTTCACATTCTGTCTTTCTGTCAGACTGTGGGCTAAATGTTCATAAGCAGTGCTCCAAAGTCGTGCCGAACGACTGCCAGCCGGACCTCCGTCACGTGAAGAAGGTCTACAGCTGCGACCTGACGACGCTGGTCAAAGCGCACAACACCAAGAGGCCCATGGTGGTGGACATGTGCATACAGGAAATCGAGGCGAGAGGTAAGAGGATTGTTAGAGATATGTTCAGACACAGCTGTTTTAGTTCATTTTATTCATCAATTTGACGTTTCAGGTCTCCAGTCGGAGGGTTTGTACAGGATATCAGGCTTCAGTGAGCTCATTGAAGACGTGAAGCTGCACTTTGACAGAGGTGAGGTTCCTTTTATCTTCTGAAATCATTTTAGGATCAGTGGAATATCAATAAGTTGTTTTTAGTTTGAGTTAACTTTAAGGTGACGGGAAGGTAGTGGGAGAAGCTTAAAGGGTCACAGATAAATATATAACTAGCTTTGGTGTCCTTCTGCTCTTTTGTTATCCATTTACACACAATGGAAACGCATCATATGAATATACAGGACCGGTCAGACATGTTGTGTATAGGTTAGAGATATCTAGGTACCTAATTAAATGACAATAGAGCCTAAAACTGTCCTTATATAATGCACCTTCTATTATCTAATATAATCAGGGTGTCCGCGGGGTCTTTAAAAGTTGATAAATCAATTTAGCGAAAATTTAAAAGTATTAAACGGCATTTTACAAGGCATTACATTTTGTAGCTTGTTTTCAATAAGTATATAAAGTATCCAGAGAGGTTGTATTCTACAGTGTGCCTGAATGTAGTCATGGCGTAGGTGTGTAGTGTGATTCTGTGTAGTTTATTGATGGCCTCCCGTTGGGTTTGACGTCATCTGAACAGGACATCGCACGCTCACTGCTTGATAGCGCGCAAAGGTCCGTTTACGCCGGTTGTTAAACAACATCGTTATGGGGAAATGCAAGTCTGCGTCCAAATGGTTGGAAGATAAGGAGGAAGGACAATCAATACTGTATATAGTGAATGTGAGGTAAAGTGTGTCGCCAAGGTAACCGGTTAAAACTCAAAGTGGCGATGAGGTCTTAAAATGTATGGAAAGGGTCTTAAAAAAGGTCTTACATTTGACTTCAGGATTCCTGCATAGACCCTGATAATAGAAGACTAAGGACACGGGATTGTGGATGTTTAAAGTAGTAGTAGTCGCTGTTGTTTAGTATTATTAATACAAAATGGGAAAGATCTGAGGAAAAATACCAAATGAAGGGAGGGATTATATAGGATAGCAGGTTTCAGTGAGCTGATTTGATGCATTTTGACAAAGGTGAGGTTCCTTTTATCTTCTGAAATCATTTTAGCATCAGTGAAATATCAATAAGTTGTTGTTTCTTTCGGTCACTCTTCACTCACTTTTTGTGACTCATTCGCTCCACAGATGGAGAGAAGGCGGACATCTCCTCAAATGCTTATGAGGACCTGAACATCATCACTGGAGCGCTCAAACTCTACTTCAGAGAGCTGCCTATCCCCCTAATAACATACGATGCATACCCACACTTCGTAGAAACAGGAAGTACGTTTTCACATATTCCTTTTGTCAATAATTAGCAGCGATATTGATTTTGATGCATTGTTACAAACACATAATACAGCAGCAATAACCTTTTGGAAACCAGTAAATAGTTGATTTGCCACCAATGTGAAACCAGTTTTATGTTAGGAATGTATAACAACGGCACATAGAAAATGCCGGATGCTAACTTGCATATGTTGGGTTATTTGCACACGGTCATTAGCATTTAAGCCTATGCAGACAATAGTTTAAAAAAAACAATGTCTTGGCCGATTTGGACCATTATTTGAGTGGTTTATTGAGGATGCTGAATCCATTCCAGACATGTTCAAGATCAAAAATGGCAGTTTTAATCTAAAAATAGCATGTCCATATAGTAACATGAGAAAGATGCAGGATCAAAAATAGGTTTCAATGAGATTCAATTGGTACATTTTGTTTGTCCTAGGGGGACAGCGTATCTTTAATTTGGCTACAAAGACTTATTATAGCATCGAGTGACCACGCACACACACTTAACATGTATGTAACACTTCTATGTACTAGGTTGCTTTAAATGAGGAGTAGAAGATAATATAAATAGAAAAAACAATATCAAATTAATATAGCCGGCATTTTATTAAACATTCATACAACACTTTCACAAACCCCTCATCCACCCCAGTGAAACCCAATCTGCTCTCATGGACAAAACAACAATAATCGAACCCGGGTAGTCTGTAGTTTCTCTCTCTCTCTGGTAATCCAATGACCATCAGTCCTTTTTCTGAAGAGTGGAATCCTTTATAATCCTTTCTCTGGTGAGGAAAAGACAAAAACTGCAGCTCCAAAAACTTTCGTCGGTTCTGGTAGTTCCTGGTTCCCCGCAGCATAAAAAAAACACATCATCAAACAATTCGAACACACACATACAGGGCCCACACCCAGCTGCCACTCATTGAGCCTCATTAACAACCACACCTGGCCTGCTCTTCCTCTCCTCCCTCATATGCAGACTCTGCTGCCCCAGCACTTCCCCGAGTGGGAGCTGCTGGTTATTACAGGGTGAAAAACTCACTGCATTATTTGAGTGGGTTACATGTATGTTTAATGTTTTGCTATTGTGCCTCATGTATCGTTAACATGTATGTTTTTGAATTTGACTTATTATAGGAGTATAACGAGTTATTCTGCGTTCATGTGTGTGTTTGCAGAGATTACAGATACGGAAAAACGTCTGGAGTCTCTCCACGAGGCGCTGAAGCTGCTGCCGCCGGCTCACTGCGAGACGCTGCGATACCTCATGGGTCACCTCAAGAGGTCAGAACACACAAGTCATGTTTTCTACACCGTCATTTATACTAGGAACGCTGGGAACGTGTCCCCATTGCTTTTTGAAATAGCCAATTTTGTCTTCATCACTATGCATTAGGATAATTTCTTTAAAATGTTCTGAAAATAGCGTGCCCATATTTCTACATAACCACACTAAGAACTAAGAACATCCATAACATTCACTTGTTTGCAACTTACACATTATGTATCACGTATATAGACTCTTATGGCTACTTCTTCTATTTTATTGTATTTACTTGCACTATTTTATCTGTTTTTATTGTGTTGCGCTGTTGGAGGAGCCTATCGACATATCTATACTGTAGCTATGTACGAATGACACTTTTGGTGTTAGCCGTTTTCACAGTTTTGCGTCCAGCTTTTCCTTCACATTCACATACTCTTCTTCGTCCCTTTTTCTTTCATCAGGGTGACAGAGTACGAGAAGGACAACCTCATGACCAGCGAGAACTTGGGTATCGTCTTCGGACCGACGCTGATGAGGGCGCCCGGACTAGACGCCATGATGGCGCTTAACGATATCCGGTACCAGAGACTCGTGATAGAAACGCTCATTCGGAACGAGGACGTGTTGTTCTGAGAGGAGAGGAAGGACGGAGAGTGAAAAGATGGAAGAAGACGTTTTTTTACGAGATAATTAGGAAGAAAAATGGGACTGTTTTGTACGGAGGGAACAATGAAGCCATTTGCAATGAAGGAATTCATTAAATAAAACTTAGTGGAGAAGCTTGGAAGTGTTTCACTTAAACTCAATCAACAGACTCAAAGTCATAAAATGAGGGTAATTATGATTGTGTTAATGATCCTAAAAATATGTTAATAGTAGCATTACCTTGTCTATCTAGGGCAAATACTGTGTGCTCCATCTTTACGTTAATATTTTTCTTAAATGCCTTGACAGTTGACGGAGAATAAATCAGAAACTTTAAAAACATTGGGATAGCATTCAGAAGCTTATAAACGAGCGTTAGAGGTAAACTTGAGTTTGCTTTGTTTCACATGGTGTCAAAACATCCCTTGTCTCTTCCTCAAGAGAAGAAGACGTTATAACAGTAGACAGCTAGATGAAAAAAGGAAAAAGGGACCCTCATATCCATAAAGCGCACTCGTTCCTCTTACCTTAAGTGACTTGGACCTACTGTGCTTCTAAAAACTCTTTATTTTACAGCTGAAATGTAGAAAAACGTGGAAAAAACAACGCAGGCTTTCCTGTTTTGTGTCATATTTCAAGCTGTTGTTTGATGTAATTACATGTCAGCGGATTTAGCGGTACATTAAATGGTTTCTGTCACTATAAAACAAATTATAGAGAAGCTTTGGGAACACTTTTAAATATCCAATGGTGAGAATATTTAGCTTAAATTGGCAACTCCACACAATTCATTGGCAGATGGACGTAAATATGTGAAACAATGCTATGTTTTCTCTTGGTTTGTCATTTGTATAAAGCAGTATTGTAATGAAGAAGTGTTAATAAGTACATTTTGTGCTTGAAATAATAATTTAAATTGAGATTTCTTTGCCTGTATTGTTTTCAAATGCCACACAGATGACTTGAGTTTCTTCCAGATGATGTTGCTAATCATCTGTAACCTGAAGGAGTGTATTTCACGTTTATTTTTTAACTTGTGCCATATGGAAAGGGATGCATGTTAAACCTTACATTAAACCTCCTTCTCATTTAAGTCTACCCCCATTTCTGTCGGGGTTATGGGGTGTTGCCAGATGTAACGTAAAAGTTAAATAATTTTCTAACAAAAGCTGTTTTTATTGTAATTGTTTAGTTTACTTTATATTCTACTAACTGCCTAACCCGATGTGAGCCTTTATTGAGTTGTTCATTTTGTCCTCATGAAATGTCCTTTTTATTTTTTACTACTGTCATTGCTGTAAAGTATTTTCTATATGGTTTATGCATGGCAAAATTAAATTATTAAATATGGCTCTCAGTTGGTGCATGTCTGAATTTTGTTTACACTGATTTCTCCTGTCAGCTCTAACTGCAGATAAACAATCAAACAAATCATGGTTTATAGTTTTTAGATGTGCATTTGATTATATATTCTCTTACCTAACTGTACTCAGCTTCTTAAAATGCAATAATAAGAGAGACAACCTCAATGTCACAACAATAAGTCATAGAAAATAGACTTTGTAGATCAGGAATAAAGGTTAAATATGGGTTTAAGATGACGCTACTTAAGGAAAATAAATGTAATTCAATAAATCATCTTAAGTTAAGTAGAAATAAGTGTGAAATCAATCAATCAATGTTTATTTATAACCCAATATCACAAATGTTACATTTGTCTCAGTGGACTTCACAGTTTGTACAGAATATCAGTATGACAATACGACACCCTCTGTCCTTAGACCCTCTGTCCTTAGACCCTCTGTCCTCAGACCCTCTGTCCTTAGACCCTCTGTCCTTAGACCCTCTGACCTTAGACCCTCTGTCCTTAGACCCTCTGACCTTAGACCCTCTGACCTTAGACCCTCTGACCTTAGACCCTCTGTCCTTAGACCCTCTGTCCTCAGACCCTCTGACCTTAGACCCTCTGACCTTAGACCCTCTGTCCATAGACCCTCTGTCTTTAGACCCTCTGACCTTAGACCCTCTGACCTTAGACCCTCTGTCCATAGACCCTCTGTCCTTAGACCCTCTGACCTTAGACCCTCTGACCTTAGACCCTCTGTCCTTAGACCCTCTGTCCTCAGACCCTCTGTCCTTAGACCCTCACATCGTACAAGGAAAAACTTCCAGAGAAACCCCACAGTTTAAAGGGGAACATGGGAGAAACCTCAGGGAGAGCAACAGAGGAGGGATCCCTCTCCCAGGACGGACAGACGTGCAATAGATGCCGTGTGTAAATCGAAGAGATAATACATTTTACAGCGTAGGTAGACCAAATGTTTGAGAATGCATGTGTCTATAATAAGAAGATGAATCCACGAGGATGTGGGAGCCATCAGGGAAGTAGTATAATGAGAGTCAGGCAGGACCGCAGAGACAGGTTCAGCCACGACTTGAAGTCCAGGACTCAGATCAGGACTCAGGATCCCGGCGTAGATAGACACCAAAAATAAATTTGGGGGAAGCTGGGTTAATCGGAACATGAGAGTACACAGGTACAGACAGACAGAAGGAAGAAGTAAGGTGTCCCCCGACAGTCTAAGCCTGTTAAAGTCAACTATAAACATGTCAAATAAAATGCTAAATCTTGCAGAGAATAATGTAAGTGACCAGTAAATGCAGGAGTCTATATTAATGTGAATAGAGCCTTGACTTATCTACTGACTGATGTGATGAGGTTAAAGCAGGTTAACATAATCAGAGGTGGAATAAGCACTCAGATATCTTAGTAAAAGTTGAAATACAACAGTGTAATAATACTCTGCTGCAAGTATAAGTACTTCATTTAAAGTCTTGTGTGAAATGCAAGTGTCATAGCACAGATAGTACACATGAATTAAACTCTGAACAGGTGCATGTACATATATATACAGACAATAAGGATCTTGTTTGCATATAGTGCACATACTATTAATATTAATGTTATTTATGCTGCTGTGTATGGTAATGATACTCTTAAAACCAGGCTCCTCCAACCATGCTAAATATATATATATATATATATAAATAATAATTAACAATAAAATACATTTAAAAAAGCAAAATATAGTAGAGTAGAAATAAAACAGTGCAGGATATTTAGCATGTTATATAAAATACATTAGCTAAATGTTGCTTATTGTATTTTATAGTCATATATAGCATTACAATGTTATGTTATTTTGTGTGCACGATGTTTTGCACACAGCACCATGCTTTCACCTTCTGTGTGCACGTGAACACCAGCTTGTGGTCATTCTCTGCCTTCTCATTGGCTGCTACTCAATTGGCGGATGAGTTCTTTGATGTGAGGCGACAGTGAGGCGACCAGCGGTGGCTCTTTACATCCGCAGTTATTCGCATTTAGTCTTAAGTTATAGTTTTTTTAATACTTCGGAACAAGTTAACGTTTCGAGATATGTATTCTTGGTATTTAAAACTAAGTTCGGGGGATTCATCGGACATTCAGAAGGACTTCAACCAACTCCGGACAATTGGAAATTAGACTCTGGAGGAACAACGCAGAGAAAGCTGTTCAACCAAAGAAGTGTTTCGACTTTTCGGTGAGTTCCTTTATTCTTATTAACTAAACGCTTATGTAGATGTGTTCCTTTTGTGACTTCGTTGGTTTTTGTCGATTTAAAACCGTGTATAAGAAGATAGCTTGCTTATTGGGGGCTTTGCTAAGTGGCTAGCAGCTAGCTTCAGAGCTAATAGGACCCCTCATGTCTTGAAGTTGAATTGACGTTATGCACTATTATATTGAACGTATTTTAAGTTTACGGTGGGAAATAGGCTATTGTTATTTTAACTCCACCACAGTAATCCATCATCAGCTTTACTTTGTAGATAAAGTTTTAACTCACAATTGATCATAACAGGCTTCAACATGTACATTTTTATATATTACCAAGTGGTTACCAAGTGGTTTCATGTACAACCCACACAAGTATCATGCTAAATTAAGCTCTGTTGCTTGGATATCACTAGATCCTGATGTCAGCGTAATATAAAAGTACATAACGATTGATGTGTAATTTAGCATAATTTACTAGCTAGCCGCTAGCTGCTAACTGCCGCCTCGTTAATATAAATCCAGTACCATGCTGTCATGAACGCACGGTGCTGTTACGTGTACGCAAATTCACGTGCTTAATGTGAACGAGCCTTTTGGGCGGCGTGGTTAAAGTTGCGCATGCTCTATGAGCGCACATACGGGTACTTCTCAGGCATGCCGGGTAATCTGTGACGTTTCACTCTCAAAAGTTGGGCCATTTTGTCATCATGCGCCATTGAGCAGCTCTCATAGGAATGAATGAGGCACCGCCTCCCACGCTGTATCCAGTTCTTATTATACATCCATGCTGCAGCCAGAGAAACGGCCGCATCAGAGCCAAAGTTTTATCGGCAATTTGATTAAAAAAAAGGCCGATACCGATAATCGGTCAAATGCGGAATATCGGCCCCGATAATCGGCCAAGCCGGTCGACCCCTACATACACGACACTGTTCAACACTTCATTCTGCTTCACTCTTTATTTAACTAAACAACCGTGGATGTCTTGAAAGACTCTTTCGCTAAAGATTTTTGAAGACATCCGCGTTCTTGTGACACATAAATACTACGCTTCCTATGTTTTGGTGCGGATTGCGTTCACACCAGCAATGAACCGCTCCAGAGTTCGCAAGCAAGCGCTCCGAGACCACCTATTTTAGCGGACCAGGGTCCGGTTGTTTAGTTCACTTAAGAGGTCTCGGACTGTGTTCACACCGACCCAAATTAACCGCACCAAGCGGCTAACTTACAGTGCTTTCAGTCTGAGTGGGCCGTTTTTAAGTTGAATTCTGAATACATTTGTAATTTCCCGTATACTTTTGACTAGTTAAAGGGGACCTATCATGCAAAATGCACCTTTGGACGTCTTTTATACATGAATATGTGTCCCCGGTGTTCCAGGGAACTCACCAAGTGTCAGAAAACACAACCCTCTCTATTTTCCTCCTTCGCCAAATCTCTAAAAAAGTGGCTGAAACGGATCTGAAAAAAACGGATCCAGATTTCAACACTTTCCTACGTCACAAAGAGACGTGCTCTGCTTATTGGTCAACTCTCCACCTATCAGGGGAATGAGCCACGGCCACGTGCATTGCCGGGATCAATACCAACCATCCGGGAGCAGGCCAGTGAGGACACATCCAATTTTGAAGCTGTAAGTTTTTATTTAGCGGTGTTTTTCCTGATAAAGCTATCTCTAGCTTGTAGTATGTAGCATGTAGCTTTGCCGTATCAATGTCGCCTCAAACCCAAATAGTAATCGGTTAGGTGTTTATATGTTTTTGTAACATTTTATATTGTACGCTCCGCAGTCTTTGCTTTGTCTTTTATTTTAATTATCAGGCATTTGCTAACATGTTCAGACATACTGCCGTAATAGCCATCTGTGTGAAGGCTGTAAAGCCACGCCCTAGCCGATAACACAAGTATTTATTCTCCTATTTATTAGTATTTTGTATCCTCTAAAATCATATTGAGTAAGTTATAATAACAAACGTAATCTTCTGTAGGTAAGTGCCGTTTTTTGCAGCGTTATATGTAAAAGCTTTTGTGATTGTAGTCTGTAAGAACGATCAGATATCATCGATCTGTAAGCTAAGCTACGCTACGCTAATGAGACATGCCGTTTTTTGCAGCGTTATATGTAAAAGCTTTTGTGTGTTTACTTGTTTGCGCACATGAATATAAATGGGGGTGTGTGAGGATACAACACTGTGTGTATGTATGCGAGGGGGGACACACACCACGAGTAAAACGGAGCTAAAGCCCCGTTGGTATGTTGTTGTTGACAAGGCCTTACCTAGCAACAGGCTAATTAGTGGCTAGCACTCATTACAGTCAGTCTACTGAGCTCAGCCCCTCTCCAACACATCATCTGTATTGAGTCAGAAACACAGCATGCACGTTACGGTTCAAAACTAACTCAGATTGGAAAAGGCTAAGCAAAGAGCTTTGCTAAATAGAGAGTTTTAAGCCCCATCTTTTGGGATTTCAGACGATATTTATCCAAATAGTATTTTCTCATCCTGAATACTAAATTGAGATGATTTTGTTCCAACTATGTTTTCTTCTTTACAGGCCAGCACCTCACATACTTACTAATTAGTGACAATTTGTACATCCTTTGCTATTATTTACATTTTTTTTTCTCATGGCGGAAATGAAAGACTGTACCTGGCAGCCCTGCACTACAATGAAAACGCTGAGCGTGCACAAGCCACTACATCCCCTGGAAACCCTCTGTATAAACTGCAGTTCCCAAAGGCCAGGAAGGGAGAATG